AGCTTCCTTTGAGTTCCGATGACTAATTTCTTTCTCTCCACTCTAAGAAGTAGGTCCTAGCGATTTCCTGTTGGGTCTAGCCTGTGGGTGTTTTACCATCACTTGTTGGTTTCCCTTAAACCTGCCTGAGCATTTGTAAATAGTGCCTTCATCCAACTCTCTTTTATCTCCTTCTCTGAATTTGCCATCTCTTTCCTGCCAGGATGCTGAGCTTTAAATTCTCTCCTGAGACATTGCAGCTTCATTCCGTGTTAGGACTCTCCATGATAATATTCTTTTTATTTTTAAAGATTTTAATTATTCATTATTTACTTATTTACATATTTATTTGAGAGAGAGTGGGAGGAAGAGGAAGAAAGAATCTGAAGCAGATTCTGCACCAAGCACAGAGCCTGATGTGGGGCTAGATCCCACGACCATGAGATCATGACGTGAGCCAAGGCCAAGAGTCAGAGGCTTAACAAACTTAGCCACCCTAGTACGCCTCTGTGAAAATATTCGGATAGCACATTTGAGAAGCCCGCTTTTCATTATTTTATGTGGTTAGTAGAAGAGTTTGTGAACATCTCACAGTGACAATGGTGGGCCTCAAGCACTCTGGATTTATAGTAATGGATCTTAGCAACTGGGTTTCACAAAACACTCTTGAGTCAAAACAGAGGTATGCCGGAGTAATTTATTAGTAATAATGAAGAACTGAGTTTTGTGCAATTTTAAACAATAAGAGTAGACATATTGTTTTAAAAACTGCACCATTTTTACTCAAAGACATTCTCGTATGCTTTCTTAAGGCACAGGGAAAGGAGAGAGAAAGTGCCAGCAAATGTACCTGACATTGCCTGTATCCTTATCTACTATATACCAGTCCATAGAAATGACCCTGGGAATATGCCCCTTATCTTACATGTAGGGGTAGAAAAAAGATAGGAAACTATTGTTGGATCACATAGGCATTCATTAAGGAATTCCTTTGACTCAGTCACTCTACTGTTTGTCATCCAACTTTTTCATTTTGTGTTGTATAAAGCCACTAATATTTTAATTAATATTCACCAGTAAGTACCTAGATGCATTATCTTATTTAATCCTCATACCTATTAACATCTTACCAAGAGTTCATCAATGGACTGAAGGAGAGATGGGCTTCGAAGTGCATGACTTACCTTGACCAAGGAGCTCCAGTTTGGGTCTCTTGGGGCAAATGTGAGCTGGGTGAAACAGAGCACTGCTTCCTGCCGAGGCTGTGACTAATAGATCTCAAATGGTGAATAGAACAAAAAGTTCAAATCTGTTTGGTCAGTTTCATTCAATTAAATTGCTAGATCTGGCAGATACTGAGATGAATGAAATATGGTTCTAGACCCCAGGAATCTGAAGCCTAGTCAGTAGACAGAGATAAAAACAAATGAGAGAGCTGTAATAAATGTGATTCAAATGATAATAGAAGTATGCTTAAAATTTAGTAGGAAAACAGACAAGGGAGCAATTACATGTTTGGGATGTAGAGGAGTGTCACGAAAAATTTTGTACCAAAGGTGACAGTTAAGCTTGACCTTGAAGGGTGTGTAGGAGTTCAGCAGTGAAACTGGTGGAGAAAGGTGAAAGGGCCCAGCAGTGGTCTTCCTTCTCATTCCTGCCGAAGGGTCAGAGTCTCCAATTGCCTTAGGTCTCCAGTCGTTTTTTCAACATTGGATTTCCTTTGACTTGCCTAGATTTCTTACTCAGTCCTCTTTGGGTCTAAGGAATTAAAGTACCATTCGAAGAGAAACTTTGGGAGAAAGGAGAGCTGGCTGGTCTGGAGTACATTCTAGCCATTGATCTTGGTCTCAGCAGGACCATGCACCAACCTGAGAAAACCGTTTAGAGACCCCCATGTCTGAAATCTGACAGAAATGGACAGTGTGAGATGTGAACCACAACCCACAGGGCCTGCCTTTCACTTTGTTTTACAGATAGTCTTGGAGACAACTATCTACCAGAGATTCCCATGGCCACATGGAGTTTGGATCATGAAAGTATTAGGGAAATATTAAGAAAGGAGAATTTATAGAAAGGATTTATCAACTCAATACTATTACTCATAAGTATACTGTATTATATCAGACCCAGAAGAGGAAAGAGGATTTAGAAGATTGTCCAAGATGTCATGAAAATTGATAGAGTTTACTTGACTGAGAAAAGCAGACGAGTTAAATCCAGTTTTAGATTTTTAAATATATGCGAGCCCTGCAACTCTTATCTTTGCCCCCAGACAGATGGGAATTCTTTCTTGCTAAGACCCGAAGGCCTTATTCACCACTGTCTTATGTCATCTTGTCTTAAAACCTAGACCTACTATTGTTTCTTATTCTCCCAACGTGGCCGATGGACATACACTCAAGTCATGCCAGGGAGACCAGTGGACTGGCGAAGGGAAATGAAAAGAAGAGTGGGGAAGAAGAATATGTTACTCTTTATTTAAAACCCCAAATCAAGGGCCTGGATAGCTTGGCTTCAAAAAGTAACAGGATATAATAACAAAAAAAGATATAACACTTAGACATAAATGTGCAGATTTTATAAGGAGAAAAATAACTTTAAAACACTCTTGAAAGACATAAAAGTAAACTTCAACAAATGGAAAAAAATCCCTGTTTTGGGATAGGATGACCCGGTATCCTAAGTGTCAGATACCAGGTCTTCCTAAGTTAATATCACTCCCAACCAAAATACCAGGAAAGTCTTTTTCTGGAAGCAAGTTGCAAATTGATAGTAAAGCTCATACAGAAAAACCAAACAAGACATGCAAGAATAGTTGGGAAAACATTGAGGGAGAAGAGCTACCAGATATTACAATGTACTTTATTATAAAGCCTCTGAAATTAAAACAGCATGACACTGGCACATGGGTAGATAATGAGACTACTGGAATAGGACAGAAAGTCAAGGAATTGACCCAAATATATGTGGAAATATAACACATGATAAAGATAGTATCTCCAATGACTATGGCAAAAAAGGATTTTTAATAGCCATCATGAAGACCACAGGTTAGGCGTATACAAGAATAAACTCCAGATGGATCAAAAATGATCTCCCCCACCCCCCAGTTTTAGGAGAAAATATGACTCTCTTTCTCTATATTGTAGGTGTGAAGAGATCTTTTCTAAATACAACTTAAAATTCAGATGCAATGAAGGAAAAGACTGATAATTCAAGCTGCCTGGGAATATAATACCCTTGCATGGTAAAATTAAAAAAAAAAAAGTAAGATAAGATAATTGGGAGAAAACATTGGGCGCATAAACACAGTTAAAGGGCCAATCCTCCTAATATATGAAAAGTTACCAGATGTGGGAGGTGAGAATGCTTCTCCAGCCTTTTCCTGGCTTACTGGGGAGTCTTCAACTTGGGTTTTCTATAGAGGACCCAGTAATGAGCTTGCTGTTGGGTTAATCTGATTTAACATTTCATGGTCACTTTGTTGTTATTTTTTACTAACTTGTACTTCCCCTCCCTGGGACCTGCTTGATTTATAATTGCTTTCTCGGATCACATTCTGTGCTGGGCTCTGCACCTGGTGTTTTTCCCAGGCCAGCAGTGATGACTGGTTTGCTGGGCTCTTGTTTCGCTGAAGGTTTCTAGTGAGATCCGTCCCCGTGTGGGCGGTAGGAGGCTCCGGGAAGGGCGTTGGATTGAGGGGCTCCTTTGGCAGAGATGAATACCCTCCAAACTATACTTAGTTTACAGTCTTGGGGATTTCCAGGTGTTATTAAACACAGAGGGCCCTTTCTTGTGTCCCAACAGAAATGGATATGTTTTCAAAGGCAGGGGGCAAAATAAATAAGTTAGGTTATAGATGTCTAAATCAAATCTTCATTTCCATTGTTGTTACTTGAGTAACCATAGTTGAATGCACACAGACTAAATTTCATTGTCATTGAGGTAATTAAAGTGTCACGGATGGACAGCAGGAGGATAATGGTGTTCTAGGAATGAGAATGTTCTGGAAAACTAAAGGAACGGGGCCCAAAATGCCCCACCCCACCCACTCATGATGCCAGGGAGTGACTTCAACCAGAGACTCATGTTCACATCAGGACAGACAAATGCATTTCCTGGAAGTGTAGACTTGAAGATCTTTCGTCTGGATTCTGAGCTAGACCCACAGTGATCTGCTAATAGGATGACTACAATAGTACTTTGCATTAGTAGAAGGCTTTGTTTGTTTGTTTTGTTTTGTTTTGTTTTTTTAGAGAGGGTGGAGGGTGGGGCTTGGGGCAGGTCAGAGGGAGAGTGAGAGAGAAAATCTTAGGTAGGCTCCATGCCCAGTGGGGAGCTCCAGGTGGGGCTCGATCTCTCAGCCCTGAGATCATAACTTGAGCCAAAATCAAGAGTTGGATGCTTAACTGACTGAGCCACCCAGGCGCCCCAAGGGCTTTCTGTTTTTGAGAGCATTTCCACATCATTGATATTCATGTGGCAGGGGCAGATATTACTGTCCCCGTTTTGCAGGGGGGATCGCTGAGGCTGAGAAAAGCTAAGAGATGTGAAGAGACAGCCTAATGGATGATTCTGAATTAAGAACAGGGCACCTGAGATGGATTCCAACTTGGCCATTCACCGCCTGTGGTGTCCTGAGCCGCTCAATTATACGGTTTATGAGCCCCCACTCCAGCTTCAATTAAATGGGAGGTTTGCACAAGTTGGTCCTTGAGGGCCTTCCCGGGGTTACTGTTGCAGGATTTTATCACTTGCCCGACCTCACCAGGAGCTGGTTAGTGGATGCGAAACAGTGTAAAACACCCCTGAGCTTCAAAGTTCTCCCCTTGCCTCTGCCCCACACAGTGCAGAACCAAGAACCCACTTGGGATGGGGGTAAGCTTTCTCCTTCTGCAGACTACAGGCAGAAGGCATAAGTGCTCCTGTGTGACTACAGAAAATTTTGAAGTTTATTTTATTTTCTTGTAATTTTTTCAGTGCCTCCTATGTATTTTTTATTAATATTTTCCAGCTTCATTGTGCTCACTTCGGCAGCATATATACTGAAATTGGAATGATAAGGAGAAGGTTAGCCTGGCCCCTGTACAAGGTTCACATGCAAACATTTTCTGGTTTTATTGAAGTTTAATTTGCATACCATAAAATCCATCTGTTGTAAGCATATAATTCAAAGCTTCCTGGTAAATTTATGGGCTTGTGCAACCATCACCATAATCCAGGTTTGGAACTTCTCTTTTATCTTAAAACATTCCTTTGTGCTCACTTACATCAGTCTCCACTCCCTTCTCCAGGCCCCAGGCAACCCCTGTTATGCTTTCTGTATCTATAAATTTGCCTTTTCTGGACAGTTCACATAAATAGAATTGTGCCCTGTGTAGCCTTTTCCATTTGGCTTGTTTAACTTAGCATCATGTTTTTAAGGTTCATCTACATTGTAGGACTTGTCCATATTTCATTCCTTTTTAATGGCTGAATAATATTCCAGGGCGTGGGTATACCATATTTTGTTTATCTGGCCATCGGCTGAGTAGTTGGGTTGTTTCCACATTTTAACTATGGTGAATAATGCTACTATGGTCCTTTGTGGACATGTCTTTGGGTGGACATACTTTTTTTTTTATTTCTCTTGGGTAAATTTCTTGGAGTAGAAATGTAGGTTTGTTTTCTCAAGTTTTTATGCAGTGCTTGAACCTCTACTTTTAATCTTTATTCTTGAATAAAAGATTCATAGGAAATGTGTGGGAGAGTAAATGTGTAACCTGTTTTAATAGGCTTTCTTAATGCCTGGCAGATTTTACGAAAGTGTCATCTGTCTTGAAATAACATAATCACACAGAGTGGCGGTCGTGATGGTTTGTGTCCTTCTGAAATTTATACATTGAAGCCCACACTCCCAGGACCCCAGAATGGAACTGTATTTGGAGCTAGGGCCTTTAGAGAGGTGATTAGGATTAAATTAGGTCATCAGGGTAGGGTCCTAATCCTAGGACATCGGTCCTATGTCCTTCTAAGAAGAGGAAGAGCCCCCACGTGAGCCTGAGCATAGAGCAAAGACCGAGTGAGGATACCATGAGAATGGGGCCATCTGTGAGACAAAGAGAGAGGCCCCCAGACAAACCAACCCTGCCCCCACCTTGATCTTGGACTCCCAGCCTCCAGAACGGTGAGAAAATAAATTTCTGTTGTTGCAGCCCCCCCGCCCCACCCAGTCTGTGGTACTTGGTTATAGGAGCCACAAACTAATACAGGGTCCTATAGTTTAAGATATGTGCTTTCCAATGCCCTTGGGAGACTGTTTTTATCATACCAATTCCCTTCACACAGGGTCTCCTCTAGTGAAACCAAATACTCTGTTGTCCTTCATGCATTCCTTCCACCGCTGGCTTTTATTCTGTAAAATCACCTGGTGGGCTCTTCCTTGCCTTCCTCTAGTTCATGGTCACATCTCCAGTTGCTCCATAGACAGCCCCAAAGCCACCTCCTCTGTGAATACTTCCTCCCATTTGGAAGCAATTCTCCTTAGAACCCCCTTCTATTTCACCCTGCATGTCTACGGCATGGCCTCTGTCTACCCTGTCTGCCAGCTAGTGTGTATATTTTATTCCTTGTGTTAGAGTAAGATCTCCTTGTGGACAGGGAAAGGGGTATTTGCATTTATTGTCCTTCTAACCTTAGCTCTGGTTCCATGTCTGACACAGAGTTGTTTCAGTTAATTAAACGTGACAACTCCAACTACCGAAGTGTTTATGAAGACTCAGAAATTAGTGAAGACATAAAATATTGGTTCATGAAGTAGGAGTAGAACAAGAATGGCCAAAAATGGGGGAATAGCAAATGCATACGTTGGAGTCTCTACTAGTGACCTTCACTCAGGGCAAGTCACTCACCCACATCAAACTCACCCTCCTTACTGCCGAGTGAAAAGGTTGATCTAGTGAAGGTCTGTTTTTTTAGGATTTTATTTATTTGAGAGCGAGCGAGCATGAGCAGAGGGGGGGACAAAGAGACAGAGGGAGAAGGAGAAGCAGGCTCCCCACTGAGCAGAGAGCCCTATGTGGGGCTCAGTCCCAGGATCCTGAGATCATAACTTGAGCCCAAGGCAGATGCTTAACCCACTGAGCCACCCAGGTGCCCCACAAAGGCCTGTTCTTTGGTGAGCATTTTATACCCCTCCAACTCTTCATGAATTCTGCAGGAGTCCTCTCTTTGAAGTGCATCCCTGGTTATGTGGCTGGCTGAAGGAGTTCAAGGTCTAAATTACACTGCAACTCAATTAAAATGAACTTAAAATGAATTTTGAGTTTCTGCTTTCCATGTAGAACTTTTCCAAGTATATGGAATTTAGAAGTGTTAGTTATTGCCTTTGGGGGGCCCAAACCCTTAAGAGGGAAAGTATGGGAACTATCACCCTCCTTTTGACAATGGACTATTTGAAAAACACACACACACACACACACACACACACACACACACAACTAGCTTGGGACTTCAGAGCATCGTGTTCAAATCAGACCCTACCAGGAGAATAGTTTGTGTGGGAAATACACCATAAAATAGAGTAAAACACAAAAATTCCCCAAATGATAAGAAAAGAAGAGCTTGTGTGGTAAACAGCCCCAGAAGGGGCAAGTACTTCTGTACAAGTGGCCTCTGACTTTCCTGGCCCAACTTTTCACTTCTCCCTTGGGTTTCTTTAACTACTTCCTTCATTCTTCCTATCCCACAGTCTCCAAGGATTTGTAGATCTTTATTTCTTTAGGCCGAGCACAGACAAATATTCTTTTCTTTTCCTTCCTTCGCTCAGCAAATTTTTGAGAAAAAAGAAAAACTAAGAGAAGGGCGGGGAGGTGGAGGGAGGAAGGACCCACTGGGGTGAGCATTCAGTATAGAGTCTCTGATCCCAAGGCAATTAAATCCCTTCCCCAGGCTGGCCAGCCCCACTGCCAAGCCCATGGACCCATGATCCTTTCTTCCCTTCTTTTGTCTTCTGCTGGTCTGTAACCACGAGTCTACACTGTCTCCCTGCTTAAGAACGAATCTACCTCATTACCCCGAACAGTGGCAAAGCTTCCTTATGTGGCCTTTTGGAAGTTCCCTAACCTTCAGGAACCTCCCACCAAATTGTGTGTGTTTTTGTTTTGTTTTGCTTTTGCTTCTTTTATAGCTTTTGTTTCATCTGCTGAGCAATGATAATTAATGCCACTAAAACCCAATCTCTTTCAGTTCTTTCCTAGCTCCGCATCGAGTGTAGATGTTCTAGTCTGCAAATGGTGGGAAAGGACAGATTTCCAGGCCTGGCAGTCATGGAAAGACATTATTTCCTTTCTCCCTTGCCCTATCTCTAATGGGAAGCATCTCTCTGGTAGAGTAACAAGTGTGGGACTTTGTTAGTAAAATAGTAGATTGAGGTTAAAATAAAAAGATGGACAGTATAAGGTGGAAAAAAGAATTGACTTGTTTAGAAGAAAATGCTAATGGTTTTCCCAGTTTTCCAAGTGTCTCTGGATCCCTCTCAGGCCTTCTAAGTCAGAAACTCTGGGGATACAACAGTCTGTATTTTAATAAGCCCTCCAGATAATTCTGACATGTGCTTTGAGCTCCTGGGTTACACAGTATCTATTCTCCATTCTTCTTTTTTTTTTCATAATAGTAAAACACTCAGGGCAGCAATGTGCCCAGCTCAAAGGTAACATTTCTTATCATCCTCGAGCACAGAATTGGCCATGAGATGCAAACAGAAGTCATTGCATGAGGCTTCTGGGAGCTCTCGTTAAAAGGGGCTGCCTCCACTGGCAGGAATACCGTTGTTGCCTTTGCCCCTCCTTCTTTGTACTTTCAGCAAACAGCCATCTTGGACCATGAGGTGACCTTGAAAATGGGGATAATGGCGCAGAGAGATTGAAGGAGCAGTGGGCTCTGACAGTGAGGTGCTGCCATCAGCTTTAGAAGAGAAAGAGAAATTACTGTGTTTAAGCTGCGTGGGTTTTCTGCTATATGCAGTTGAATCCAATATTAACACATTCTGTGTTATTTTGAATTATTTTGGTATTACTCCTCTGGAAAAAATATTAAGAGCTAAAAGTCTTCTCTGGAGAAATAAAAGGAAGTGGGGCAGGACGAGGGGAGGGGTCATTCTCAGATGCTCGCCCAAGATGGGCTCCTCACAGACGGATAACTGACTTCATAAATAGAAGGATTATTTCTCACCATCCTCTGGAATTTATATTTTGTATGCTTAAAATGAGAAATTCTTCCCAGTAATGGATGGTACTTACAAACATAACTAAAGGGTCATACATTTTTAGAATATCTGAATTTTTTGTGCTCCTCTTATCATACACTTCTACGCCAGAGATTGTGACAGGAACGTAAAGACGAATGTTGTAAAGTCTTTGCCTTTGAGAGCCTCAAATATTAAAAAAAAACACAAAAGCTCAGTAAGAGGAAAGTCATTGTCTTTTGTTGTTGCTCAGAGACTTCGCCTCAAGAATATATATATTTTTAAAGATTTTATTTATTTATTTGACAGAGATCACAAGTAGGCAGAGAGGCAGGCAGAGAGAAAGGGGGAAGCAGGCTCCCTGCTGAGCAGAGAGTCCGATGCGGGGCTTGATTCCAGGACCCTGGGATCACGACCTGAGCCGAACTCAAAGGCCCAACTCGCTGAGCCACCCAGGCGCCCCCCCGCCTCAAGAATATTTAATGTTAATCTATTTTTTATCGTGGGCTGAAGCAGTGCCCCGTCTCGCCAAGGTTGGCACAATGCTTCCAGGGTTTTACCTGCATAGGTTAGGGGTCATTTTGTCAGTGTGGTTATGAAACGTGGCTAGCTTTGAGCTCTGTGTATTGGACACCTGACTCAATTTGAGATCCAAGTTAACTCCCTCTATTAAGAAAATAATTCAGGGATTATTTCACTCTGTCCTTCTGAGTGTTCCTTGGGGGTGACTTCCTCTGGATTTGGCCTTAGATACAGCCCACCCATCCCATTTGGCTGGTGCACCCTCCTCAGAGGTCTCCCTGAACAGAATTCAGAATCAACGTAGCAAAGAGCTTCTCAGAGCAGTTTGGCCCACCAGGCCTCTCTGGAGACGGGGGTCACTCATTCATTCACTCATTCACAAAT